TGTGTTGTACGGTGTCCTCGAGTGCCCAGAGAGGCGCCTTTAAATAAAATGTATTATTATTATTATAAACCTTTAACACTCCATTCACTGAAAGCTTTTTTAACCAGAGAACAGGAAAGTATTTTCTGAATGAGACTGAATACATGAAACAGTATTTAAAAGAGGCTAAATAATGTGATTTCCCTCAGTATGATCAATATTATTACAAATGAATGTTAAATATCATATGCTGTATATATTTGTTTCGTATTATGTCAAAATGTTATATTTTCTATGATAATCTTAACGTATACTGCCTTTGACAAAACACGCTGGAGAAATGGTTCAGTTTACATTGTGTGCTTATAATAATGCTATTAAAGGACTAAAGGTACTGGTGGTTTTGCATGTTATAGATCATTCATTCAAAAAAAAAATGTAGCTTTACCATTACCCATTTATCAAAACATACCATTTAAAAAAATTGTAATCATCCCAATGAACATTTGTAGGCTTTTTTTAGTGAGCTCCTCTATCGATTACTGATTGGTAGGGCAGTTGCAAGCAGGGATTGTTTTAAAAACTGTGCTTGTAGATCTGATATCTGAGGCAAACAACCACATTCATATTCGTTTGAGAATGTTTTCTTACCGTCTGTCTTCTGGGTTTGATTTTCTGAAAGCTCGTCACTGCCGAATGTCAGATGTGACAGCATCCTTGAACACATCAAATCATCAAAGAAATGCGTAGCTATTTGCATTACCACACAACAACAGGGAAGGTTCACTGTCTCTTTCAAACGGGTTTAAAGGCTCTGCACATTGAACTGAGTTACTGCACAGCAGGAGGAAAATAAATAACTTATTGTAAATATGATCAGTAGTTATGCTAAAACATGCAAAACCAACAGTATGGTCCTTTAAAGTCATAAAATATATTCTTATTCAGGGAAAGTGTAAATTATGCTGCTCCCTATAAAGTTCTATAAATAGACAGTGATGCTGACACTTATTTTTGTGCTGTTTGAAAATTATAATGTTCATTGTTCTCAGTTTTCTCATTTTAATAACTAAATCAATTCTGTAGCATAATGTGTTGTGTTAAATTGGTCAAACCTACTATCAGTCTCTAGAATACAATTCATGTCGGTGAAAAAAAAAAAAAAGAGGACGTCAAATTTAGCAAAGAAATTGTTTGTTTCATTTGTTATTCTTCTACATGTACAACCTTCTTTTCTCTTAGAGATGTGTGACCTATGGTGCCACTCTGTATTCAAACAAAGCCATTTCATTCATGGCTCCTTACACAACTTTCATCAATCACCAGCCCATTACAATGACAATTTTCATTAGCAAATGACAGGTAAACATTATGCAGCAAACAAATGTTCACATCTCAGTAATATTACCTTGAATTATGTGGCTTATTACCATACCAAATTGATTTAAGTGTTCATTTTTCTTACCCTGGAGGAACCAAACAGGATTAGTATGTGCGGGACAAAACAAAACAAGGAAATGGTAGAGCCACTTTATGCCGTCACTCGTCACATTACGATTAGTTTTGGTTGTGACTTCTCGCATCCGGAGTTAGTCCCGGGAGGACTCTTGACAGATGAGAGTAGAAAGAAAAGCGGGGTGAAACTCTTCATCAGTCCTTTCTCACTTCTTACTGACACCAAAGCATAACTGGTAGCTTGGATTTCTGCAGCCTCTTTTGCTTTTTTCCACAGCTCTCCATCACTGCAAACAACAGTGAGACATCCAGAGTAGAAAAGTTAAGACAGCCTTGTCCTCATGTTTCCAGATTGTAAATCGCTTCTGAAACTGAGACCATTACTAGTCAAATCAGGGGCTTTTCTTCCTCTTGGGGCTCATTATATGTGTGCCTTTCCAGTAAAAGCTTAGTGACACGGGCGATGATATCAGGATGCACCAGGCAGTCTAACAGGTCATTAGTGGTTATTACTGGGTGTACTGGTTCCTCATAATCCACTGAAGAGTTCTCTGACGTCCCATCAGCACAGTCACGTGGTCTACATTGAGTTAAACCGTGGATACATTCATTTTTTCCCTGGTGGAGTCTGACAGCAGATGCAAGCTTGGTTTTCGGTGCTGTATCTGAGCTGGCCTCTGGATCTTTTGTGGTCGTTCCCCTCGTTTCTGGTGAGTAATCTTGCTGACAGCGTACAGGAGTGAGATGTGGTCCGAAGGGAACGCTGAAGGGCACAGAATCTGTTACCAAATCGCTGTTCTTCCTGATTTGTCCTCTGGAGTCCCGCTTGACTGGAAGGGTGTCTCTCGGGTCCTGGGTCAGCTTGCTGTGGCAGAGGCCCCTCTGTCTTTGAGCCAAAGCTCTCACTGCCAGGTTCACATATTGCATGTTCTCATTATGGGATGCTACACCTTCCTGCAGAGACGTAATACAAACACTGTTACAGATACCAAACCCCACCTGACACATAATTAATGCAAAACATGTGACTTCAGTTAGTTCCATAAAAACACACTACTGCAGAGAACAATAGGAGTTAATATATTGTCCTTACTCCCCCACAGATCCAACCCCCCGGATCAGTGAGGTGAATGAAGTAAAAGTAACAGCTTGCACCGGTTTTCTCAAGTTTTCTCACAAAAACTTGCCATCTGAATAATTTGAAAGAAGCTATAATCAAATAATATTAAACACACAGTGGCTCTAAACTTTGTTTAATTGGTTTAATTGGTCTATCATCAGAGTAATTACCTCTTACAATTACAGCAGCTGGTTACTAAAAGTTTTGGGGGAACCTTCTGTACTTTTAGCTTATATTAATGTCTCTGTTTACATGCTGACAAGCTGAGATAAATTATACTGAACTGGTCCTGCAGAACCCTCGTTACAACTCATATAGCTGTCTTAGAAAGACCGCAGTGAAATGACTGACGTTATTTTTCTAAATACTTTAAACTCTCTGGACTCTATAACTATAAACTATTCAGATTTATAGTGCCTGATTTAAAGCTCCAGTATAGCACAATATTATGTGTCAGCTGTCTACCTTGGTAAAAGAAAAAAAAAACAGCTCTAAACGCTGAGAAAGTTTGAGGGTTTTTAAGTTCAGTCCCTCTCCTCTTTGTAGTTACAGGAAGCATCCCAGGAGGTTTAGTCTCTCCCCAACATCTGTGTTTCTATACTGCAGCTCATACTGTGACTACAGAGTAAATGACCTCCTGTAGGCGGGATAAATATACCCTCTGACTGGTAGAAGAAGCCTGGCTGTGCCAACTGATACACAGAGAAGAAGGTGTGGGAGGTACAGTGGTTAGTAATCTATCATACGCAGACAAGAGTCTCATTAAGCTCGTGGAGGTCTGGATAAGTTCAAGCACAAACATCAGCTATACTTTACACCAATAATGTTGCACCATGGAGGAGTTCTTGTACAGACCAAAAACAGTTAGGTGCCGTGTACAGAGCTGGGCTTTCTGACTCATTGTATGGGTGTTGAGTCAACAAAACAGAAACACTATTGTAGACTGTAGAGTGAATTATTATAAAGTAACATATCATCAAGATACATTTAAATTAAAAGTTGATGGATGATAATATTAAATTAATTCTCAGACCTAATTTAGGACACTACCGGATCAAAGGATTGACATGAGCAGTGACCAAATGTGTATCTTATCCACCATACAGTCCTCTGGATAAAAGCCCTTCTACAGTGAGACGTGAGTAGTAGAGAGAACCATTCCAGACACAGCCTTGAGGTTTTTCAAAGCTAAACAGAAACAAGAATGTGTAAATCGTTCACAAAGACTACAAACATTATTGATTTAGTATTGACTACCTCAGTGGGATTGAGCCAGTTGTCACTGTTGTCATCACTAGGTGCACTCTTAAGGGCGCAGACAACCGCCTTGGTCACAGCTTCACTAACCCTTGCCATGTCATCCACTTCCTGTGCAGGAACAGAAAACAAAAAGCCAAGCAAAGTAAGTATGAGTACTGCATATCAAGATAATTACAGTGAACGGTGAAGACGGTGTGGGGGTACACCGCAGGCACGTTTTGTTGTGTCGGTGACCTTGCAGGGGAAGCTGGAGTGGGACCCACTCTTTGAATAAACATTTGTGTGGGGAACTTTTCATGCTGCGCACAGTCCTCGTTGTGCACACACTCATCATAATGACAGGGAATCTTTTACTGCCAGGCCTGTTCATTACTCAGAGCCTTCACCTGGGAGCACTGAACGCTGTTAGGATCAACCCTAGTAACAGCTCTCCAGGACAAATGTAGGTGGAACATCTTTTCAGATTTGAGTTTAATAGTTCAGGGTTGAGGGAGAGACATGATCGGGTTGCTTACCAACTCGATCCAGGAGTTGACGCTGACGGTGATGGGATCCAGTGACTCCACGTAGTGCCACCAGTGTCTGGGGACATAAAGCACCTGAGCAGAGAAGATAAAAGTCCTCAGAAGCTTAAATGGATTAAGTGACATCACCCACTCCCTTCCCATTTGTCTTTAAGCCTTTGTGATGAACGTTGAGAAATGCATAACTGTACTGACCACCCACTAGATGGCAGCATACACCTTTTTCTCCCACAGACTCAGTGGTTGATCCATTCATAAAGTGACTCTATTAAAATGGGCAAGCCTTATTGATTCTCAGCCTCCTCAGCAGTCCTGATTCATTCATGGCCTGTGGTCTGACAAGACAAGATGAATGATCTGTCCTTTCCTGTAGGAGATTGCTGTAGATATCATAACTATCCATTTTGTGTCATATCTCCAAGTGTAGAGTGAGAGTAATGTAGGCACAAAAGTCCACAAAAGCTTTCCACTGCATGTGAAATGCCGGCTGCAACACCGAAGAGTTCAAGGTGACTGAGTTGACTGTGGGCGATCACAGTCTGCCTCCTAGATACAACCACTGATTACTGTAGGACTAAAGGACCAGATTATGGTACTGTGATAACACCTGAGCCAGTTCCATTTACTAAATGAAGAGTATGAGACGCTGTTGAAAGCCTTGAAAGCAAATTGACCCTTTTTCTTCGTGCTCGAGACTTTTTTCACCACATGCTGTTCCCAAAGGTCAAGAATGAATGTCGCTGCTCAAAATTACTTTCACTAGAGGGGTCCACAATGACTGGCCAGGGCTCCGTGATGGGACTGTAACTCACTCATCTAACTGTATAACCATCATCCTTTTCCATTAGGTAAGATAAGCACAAGTGATCTGCTAAAGCATCAGCCGGAACCCTGACCTGCACATTGCTTCTCCAGCCTTCAGAGTTACCTGACAGAGAGACAGATGGCTAATTGCTTTTGTCACCATTTTGTCTCTCAATACAATGCAGCTGGAAAATGAAACAAGGCAAAGTAGGACGAATACATCCAGGAAGACTTTTGCAGTAATTCAGAATTGAAAAATACTTCAAAAGGTAGCTGAGGACATTTCTGAAAAATCAGGGCACTGTGACAGCCGTCTTCTGATTGCACAACGCCTCAATCTTAACTGTCCTCACACTGAACTCCTCTGCTTCTAAAGCAGAGTGAACCTAGATTTGACCCTGTTACTTTTCTCCTGACAAGACATCAAGAGTGATGAGAAGGCTGACTTTAATGTAACTTACCCTTTCACTTCCTTAAATATAAAAGCTCTAGTCTGTTAAAGGTGACGCACTATAACTGAGAAGGCCAGACTGTAATTGGAACACACGTAACAACCGTTGCCTTGCTACACACTTTTATGGAGGACAGCATGACAAATAAATCTCGCTGTGGGGTCTACTTTTACATGTTCAGGACCAATAATGCTATATTTTATGGTTACTGCTTCTGTGTCACAAGCAGTCCATCACATAAATGTGGAACCACACTGTTGCATAACGTCAAACTTCAGTAAATCACTCATGCTGGTTTTGCAATGATTTAAAGAAAAGAGGTAGGATGTTTAATGTTTGGTGACAAAAATGCAAATGTGTAATGATTTTGTACAGTTGGCTCAGTATTAGCTATGATACATGGCTCAAAGTTCAACATAGCTACCACATTTTGACAAAGTTTGAGCAATAACAAAAAATAGTGATAAATGTCCAACACAATCCGCTAAAGACCAATTTGATACCTTCAAATATCTTGTTTTTTTCTAACAGACACTCTAAAGAGTGATTTTCAGTTTTACATAAGAATAATAATGAATAAAAGCGGGAAATCCTCAATGACTTAAAAATTCACCAATTATCAAAAGAGAGGCCGATTATTTTATTATTTTATTTTTCTATAAATCATTTCAGCTCAAGCTTTACAGTAGTAAAAAAAATCACAAATAGATGCTTCTTTATTTACAACTACGTTTAAGAACAAAGTAATGTCCAGAGAATTGAATCATTAACAAATATCTGAATTTGGTTAGAATAATAATGTCCAAACAACTTATTTGGTCACAAAATGAAACTGAACACCTTAAGTGTACATTTCAGAGGTGGGAGTAAGTCACACATGTACAAGTCTCAAGCAAGTTCCAAGTCATTTTTGTGAGAGTCGAGTCAAGTCATAGCTTAGGTCAAGGGTTGCAGAACTGAAATTGGGTTAGAAACTTATGTCCTCTGAAACCAAATTGTATAATTGTGGAACACTGCTTGGCCAGCAGTTCCACCTTTCCAGTGCTCCACTCCGCCTCTCTACACCGCTGCAGTTAAGTTGGTTAGATTTACAGGTTTGCCCAGGTTTCCGCCCAACATCAACTAGTGAAACATCCGAATCGAAAAAAAGATTATTTTTGATAATTCAATATTTAATAAAGACGGCAATGACTTTTGTCGAGTTTATTTCATGCAAGTCTAAGTCAAGTTCTCAAGTCATGACTAGCAAGTCAATCAAGTCAAGTCTTTTATCAACTGTTAATCAACAAGTCACAGTCCATTCAATCTTGCGACTTAAAGTCTGACTCGAGTCAAGTCACTCGACTCGAGTCCCACTCTGGTACATTTTGTGGTTGTTTACTTATCTTAGTGCACCCTTTAGCTTCTGCATGAAGACCTTTAGGGTGCAGAATGAAATCACAAGTTAAAAAAAAAAGCCAATAATGGGAACCTCTTTGATCCATTACATTTGTTATGGTGGTAAAATATTGAGTCAAGAAGCCTGACCTGTTCTTGGCTGCAGAGTGAACGACGTGGGCCCTGGCTTCCTGAAAAATGCAGGAACCTCCTCAGGTCTGGAATGGAGAACATCACCTGGCTGAAGACACTGGACTCCTCATATGGGATCCGGGTTGGGTAAAGGTTAATGGTGGTCCCTTGGAGGAAAAGAGGTCCAGCGCTTCCTACCACACAGGAAACTTCACATTTAGTACATTCAGGCTAAAAGGGGAGATTAGGATTGTTGTTAGAAAAAGGAATTCAGTTGTTAATGTTTAGTTGCCATAATATCCAACCTATGATGGACCCCAAAGTGGAAAAATTGAAGAAACAAGAGAAAAGTAGATAGTTCATTATGTATTACTCCAATGATTAAAGCCATATAACAATGTTTTATAATATTCTCCTCTTCAACTAGTCACCAGGTTGGCTACTACAGTGGATTGACGAATAAAAACTGATTTGAAAAAATGTTTTTGTTTTTCTTGTGTTGATGTTTTTTGTAAACAGTTCTTTTTTATACAAGAGGAATCAAAAATGCTTTCTTATTCTGTAGAATGACAAACTGACAAGGCGATTCGTAAATCACCATCCTACATATCCATATTATCAATATCTATATTCAGTCTATATATGTATTTTTTCATGGATCAGATGTCAAGACAGCTTTGAGCTAAATTCATCATTTGGATTCAATACAAATAAAAGAGCCTGAGACCAATTACAAGGAGGGAGAAAAATGGGGCTCTCGTGGGAAACAAGGAGAGGATGAAGATACAGAAAAGACCTTCGT